ACACACAATAACACACACACACACAATAACACACACACAGACAGACACACACACAAACAGTCCCACATGTTCAACCGAGCCCCAGTACTTGGGAGGCAACGCGCCCATTCGACTCCCAAGGCACCCGGCGTTAACTTCCGCACTTGACGGAGCCCTCGCCCTCACCCTCGCCCTCGTCCTCGCCCTCGTCCTCGTCCTCGCCCTCGCCCTCGCCGACCACCAGGCTGATGACACAGGTCGCTACGTAAACCTCCAACAACAGCAGCAGCAGCCCCGGGTCCCCTCTGGGGGTCCCGGCTTTTATCCCCCGCGGCGTAACCCGGCTCCGCCCCTTGGCCGCCGCCGCCCGGGGAATCCTCGCGGGAAGGATCCGGGTCCCAACCAAGTGACCGCCCGTCTTCCTCGGTTCTTTCGGTAAAGTCACCACCATCACCACCACGTAGAATGAGAATAACATAATACATTGATGAAATAAAATAACACAGTAATAATATTATTCTCACGACGTTTCGGCCTCAACACAAGCGGCCTTCAAAGTGTCCCTTCTTCGACGCGGTGAAGACGGCCAATCGGCATTAAAAAAAAGTGTCACGTTGACAAAAGACGCAAAATAGTTCCGCTACTTTAGCCACACACCGGTGGTGGTGTTGGTGTTGTTGTTGTTGAAGAGTGAATCCACGACATTTTAGAGCTTAATTCGAGATTTGAAGCTTTCGTGACTGCAAGGATCCACACTCTTTGGTTCTAGTGGGTAAAGTCACCACGTGGTAGTAGGTAAGAAAATATATATATGAAACAACAAAAATCACGACGTTTCGGTCCACAACACAAGCGGCCTTCATCAGGCGAAGGGACCAGGCCGTCTGGAGGACAGCGCCGGAGTGAAACACAGCCACGCTCAGACCGCGGACCTTCAAGCTGTGTGCGAGAGGAATCAAAGGTGCCTTGACAAAGGAATTAGCATTAAAAAAAAAATTAGCATTTGATTGGCCGACTTAGCATGATGAACGGTGTAGAGGTGGTGTACACGCGGGTGGACATGCCGGTTGGGGAGGGGGAGTTTACCTACTGATGGTGTGAAAAGGGAATTTTGAAGAGCTGCGAAAGTTTGGGGTACCACTACTTGAAAGAAAAAAAAAATGACGCCGTACCGCTGAAAATTAGTTTAACGTTTCGGTTCGATTCAGAACACCTTTCCAATGGTTGCTTGATTTGAAACCATCCTCTCGGTTGAAATTGCGTCTTGTGCTCGTCAATCCGAATTGCCTCGTGGACAAATCTCTTGATAAAAAAAATATATATATATACACCCGTGGGTTTGCAAAAAGGACCTTGGCATCGGGGAAAAATTACATCATCATCACCCACGGCGGGGGGGCGAATTCGTCCTGCTGCGCTTCAAGCACGATTTGTGCTCGCAAATTCGGTCAGAGACGTGCCGTTTCGTCTCCCCGACGTAGCAGTCGTGCAACGTTTGAACGCTTCAGAAAGTCGGTCGCCCACCCGCTCGCCGTTGCTTTGTCGACGTGTCCCTGGAGCCTTTAAGAGGTGGTTCCCCCTTCAGACACCGCCGCCGGAGGAGGCGGAGCATTTTGCTCAGCGGTGACCACGGATGAACCCGCCCCGTCTGAACAGGGGGCCCCCGTAGCTATCCGTGGTGCTCAAGCTGAGGGTACGAATCCACCCGCTCGTTTCGCCATACGCCATTGCGATATATAGCGACTTGTTGTTGGTAGCTCAGCCGACTGGAGAATGCGTAGAGTTTATTGATAACATTGAGGTAGTTTATGTTTGAGTTTTTTTCATATATAACGACTTATTGTTGGTAGCTCAGCCGATTGGAGAATGCGTAGAGTTTATTGATAACATTGAGGTAGTTTACGTTGTAGTTCTTTCATTGGTTTACTATATGCTATTCATTATATAGTGTAGTGTATGCCCAGTTACTGTTACATAGCTGTTACGACGCCGTGGGTGATCACGATATAGTTTCCTCCCGATACCAGGGTTCTCTGCAAACCCACGGGGTTATTTTTTAAATCGGAGATTTGTCCACGAGGCAATTCGGATTTACAAACGCAAGACTCAATCTCAACCGAGAGGATGGTTTCAAATCGAGCAGCCATTGGAAAGATGTTCCGAATTAAAACCAAACATTAAACTCATTTTCAACGGCACAGTATATATATATTTTTTTTCAAGTAGCGGTATCCCAAATTTTTCACAGCCTGCTTTATTTCCCTTTTCACACCAACATTATGTAAGCTCCCTCCCCCTCCCCCCGCCCGCCGTGCCGGTCCAGTACATCATTGTTACGCTAATTCCTTTGTCAAGGACTCGACCTGGGCTTGGCTGTCTTCACTCCAAACCCTGTCCTCTGGACAGCCCGGTCCCTTCGCCTCATGAAGGCCACCCGTGCTGCGGCCGGAAACGCCGCGAGAATTCTGTCGTGTCATTCCGTTATGTTATTCCCGCTCCACGCGGTGGCTTTACCGAAAGG